TGTATTTATTTTTAAGTTATTGTATTTATTTTAAGTAAATAAATAATAAATCCATTTAAAAGAAATTTCACATATAAAATAAATATATACGGAAAAAAATTCAACTGGAAAGTTAGATTTTGAAATATACTCAGCAAATGAGTCTTCCGTTCATGACTGGTTGGCAGTGCAAATGACAAGTACCATAATTGTTACATGCCCCTGTTGAAACTTGAACATAGGCCACTAGGCTTAGAAAAGGCCACATGTCAACAACTTCCTATTTTTCTCCATTCCAAGATAAAGTCTTTCAAGTTATATATCGCCCCGGAAAGGCCATCTGTCTAAAATTGCTTAGGCTTGGGAAAGAGGTTTTTAGGTCAGATGTATTACTCTTATTCCACTTGAACTTTTTTTTTTTCTTTCCTCTTGAGATCTGAAACTCAATGATCTTTTTTACAATCCATGATCCCAAGAAAGTTTGAAAAATACTTATCATATCATAACCCAGAAGCAGAAGCTCTAAGTGAAGGATTTCTATATTTGTAGCTCTGGAAAATCCACAGAAGAGAAAACTAGGTAATCTTCAGTAGAGAGGAGGAGAGAGAGGATTTCTGTTTGTGTCCTTCCAGGAGTGATATCCTTTGGAACTGCAGCTGTCATGCTGTGAGAACTTCCCACTGCCCCATCCAGCATAAAAGAGGGTCATGATAGTCCCTTGTGAACTGCAAATCCACTCCTGCTGCCTTTAATTAGATCAATGATAGCTGCTTGACTTGGCATGGCCTGTCATATTCTCTCCCTAGGGAACTTAGACTTCCTGGGGAGTCAAAATGCCGGTCAGTTCCTGCTGGCTAGTTGAAATAAGGAGCTGAATGGCAGCCCACCTTCTTCTTTGAGCACTGGGTTGCAGAAAAAGATGACCAGCAGGAGGAGAAGCAGCATGTTATGTATTAAGTCACTATAATTCTGAGGTTGTTTATTACTGCAGCTGGTATAGTGTCACTAATATAAATGGAAGAAAAATGTATCATCAAGCAAATTAAGGGTATCTATACCTTAATAATCCAAGAATCCCATTTCTAGGTACATACCCAAGGGAAAACTTTATACATTTGCAAAAGGAAATATGAATGAGTTTTAAAAAATCATGTTAATCAACTGAATAATGAGTACATAAATTGTGATACAGATGGATATTACACATCAGTTAGAAGAAATGAAATAGAAGTATGTTGATCAACATGCATAAGTATCAGAAATATAATGAGTGAAAATTTTTATAGAAAGATAGGAGGGTAATTACAACTAATTTTAAAGTTTATTTTAAAATATGAGAAATATAGCACAATGTGAAGATTGATAAAAACCAAGTGATGAGTACATGGTACACTTGAAATATTCACACCTCAAAAATGAACAAAATATAGTCTTCCTCAATACTTGTCCACACCCTTCCTAATGCATACTCACCACTAATTGTGCTGCTATAAACATTCGAGTGCAGATGTTTTTTTTATAGAATGTCTTTTTTTCCTTTGTCTAGATGCCCAGTAATGGGATTGCTGGATCAATGGTAGTTCTACCTGTAACTCTTTGAGGTATCACCATATTACTTTCCACAGAGGTTGCACTAGTTTGCAGTCCCACCAGCAATGTATGAGTGTTCCTATCTCTCCACATCCATGCCAACATTTATTGTTTTGGGACTTCTTGATTAAGGGCATTCTCACTTGAGATAAATGATATCTCATTGTAGTTTTGATTTGCATTTCCCTAATGATTAGAGATGTTGAGCACCTTTTTATATGTTTGCTGGATATTAGTCTATTAGTCTATCTTCTTTCGAAAATTTCTGTTCATGTCCTTTGCCCATTTATTGATGAGGTTGTTTGATTTTTTCTTGTTGATTTTCTTAAGTTCTATATAGATTCTTGTTATCAGCTCTTTATCAGGTGTGTAGAAAGCAAGTATTTTCTCCCATTTTGTCTATTTGCTCTAATGATAGCTACTTTGTTCCTAAAACCTGTCATGTCACATCTTGAACACTTCCAATAACACTATTGTATATATTCTCTTCATACTATAGATGGGGAAATGGAGGCTCATAGGGAATTTTCCAAGACCTTTGCATAAGGGGCCAGGTTAGGGAAGGGATCATTCTTAATTATAAAACTTCTTCTCCTTTCACTATAGCACATTTGTATTCTCAGTGTAGATCAGGAAAGTTTTATTTCTCTTGTAAGATACCCCAAGCTTCAATTTAGGAGGCCTAACTAATAAAGGCCATAATCAAAACTAGAGTTAAAAATCTTCTGCTTCTAAACCCAGTGTTTTTTTTTTTTTTTTCTGTGTTACTGTGAACGTTACTGGCATATGAAAGTGGCATATAACTTGTATAGTGTATTTTATATAATGCGCATTAAAGAGTTAAACAAGAGACAGCGTAGCCTTTGCAGCCGGCAATGGTGTTAATCCTGCCACTTGGGATGGAAGAAATCATAAAGTTACTCTCATTATTGTGCACCCCAGAGCAAAACTGAGAAGAGAAGCAGGACATAGGATATTCTTACAAAATAAAAAAAGAACTTTTGGAATGCAATTTATTGTACAAATTTCCAAGCATATTGGGAGAAATAAAGCTTTCATAGAAATCAGTTGGTGAAGGCCTCCATTAGGTGATATATGGTAGACATTGATGATAAAGATTTTGATGAAAAGTAGCAATGTTCTACCCTAAACTCCTTTAGGATAAGTCAAGTACAATTTCCAGAGATCAATCAGCAGAAATCAAGGAAAGAATAATCTGTTTCAAGTTTGGACAAAGATAAATTTTTATTCTTAATTGATGTTTACATCAGTTCTCTATTAGTGAAATAATGTCACTATTTCCTATATGACCTATAGTATGTTGTATACAGGTATGTTTAGGTTAGATAGAGTTAAATAGCACATATTCTTCATTGTGGAGTGAGGATTTATTTATGCATAATGTAATCTTTTGTTGGATTCATAAAGTCTAAGTTAAAATTTTCCTCTGAGTATTGAAACATCCTCCTTCTCACCACCACCATCATTTTTACCATCCCATCATGCTATCACAGTTTGCCAGGAACTGTGACAAATGCTTTTCTTGTATTGTCTCATTTACATCTACCTACAACATGAGGGGTTAGGGTTGTCTTTCTTTATTTAGGTTAGACAACAGAGGAATGGATAGGCTAAGTAAAATTTCAAGGTCACACAGGTAGTAAAAGACAGAATCAGAATTTAGACCTTCATATCTTGGAACATTTGCATAAAAGGAAGTAAAACTTAATGGAAATCAACCAGGGGGCGGGGGGAGAAGGGGCAGGTGAAAACCTACCTAATGGATACAATTAACACTATTTGGGTGATGGGCATACTTAACTTTGGCTCAAGCATTATAAAAGCTATCCACATAACTAAACATATTCACACCCCCATAGTACTTTGAAATTAAAAAAAATAATTTGGACTATTTTGGGCTAATAATTCAATGGGCTAATTCTAAGACCACTCATTACCTACAAAGTAGATATGCGGCAGTTTACTTATCTAGGCCTTGATTATTAGACATTGAACAAGTTTCAAATTATACTAAAAGTAAGTGAACAAACTCACCTCTGCTTTGATCATTGCTTCCCTGCCACACTGTCATCTTGCAGTTCCTCAAGTGCATCAAGCTTGGCTTCTGCCTCCAGGGCTTTGCACATTCTGTCCCTGCAGTTGGGACCATCTGTCCCCATATAATACATAGTTGCTCCCTCATGCCATTCATGTCTTTGTTAAATATCACCTCCTTCAGGAGGCCTACCCTGAGCTCCCATTGGATTCTCTGTCTCCTTGCTCTGACTCATTTTTCTTTCTAGCACCTCTTAATAGTTGATATTACTATATATTTAGTTTTGCATTTCTTATCATCCGTCATTCTCCCTAGATATTACTTTGCATGAGGACAGGGTCCTTGTCTCTCTTGCTCAGCTTTGCTTCTCCAGTGCTCTAGAATACATCTGCCTCAGTGAAAGATGCTCAGCCAATATTGGATGAGTGAAGAGACAATTGAAGCTTTTCCCACATTTTAGAGTTTTTTGCTGTAGTGATTAGAATCACTACGCTAACAGGCATGAACAATATAAAGCTGTCAACACATTCTGTACAACGACGTTCCAAACGAGCTTGTACTGGTTTAAGTTTCCACCAACAATATAGGAAACTGCATTTTCGCTACTCCCTAGATGGAGTAGGTTTGATCCTGTGATGACAGTCGAGATTCCAATATCCTGAATAACCAAAATCAGATATGCATCCTCTCCCAACAGAAGTCTGTCCCAACCAGGATATTGTTTTTTTTTTTTTTCCTCTTCATCACATATGGCAAGTTATACTCAATGCCTCCACTTACACTGTTTCTTCTCATTTCCTGCCCTTTCCAGGAAGGAAATGGTGGACATTATAATCAGTCTTAGGGATGGGTTTGCTATGAAATTGCAGTTATAGAATAAACTCTGGTACTGGTTTAAAGCATGAACTTTGGAGTCAGGTAGGCTGGGATTCAAGTCCTCCCCTTACCTGCCCTGAAACTCTCTAGGCCTTGAGTTTTGCAACTGGAAATAGGACATTGTAACTCCAGGGCTCACTTTACAGGGTTTTTAGGAAGAATAAACATGGTAATGTGTGACATTTTATAGTACAATGGCAGGTTCATGGTAAGCCTACAATTTATCTAAAAATAAAGAAACAAACACCCACTGCAAAGAAATGCCTGAGCAATTTCTCTGCGCCCAGCCAGTTCTCTGACAGTGTCCCACATGGGCAGACAATGTGATCTTTTTCTATTGCAAAGCTGGCAGGAAGGGCAGGAGGCCAGTGGTGTAACTGTCCTGGTTACTCCTTGTAATGGGGGAAGAGGGTTGGAACTGTGACAAATTGATGGGAAACAGGAAGTCAGTGAGGCCTGACATCTAAAAATGGTCTTAAGAATGGACAGAGAGGAAATGTAGTGTCAGCTGTGATGCTGAGTAGGTAAGTCTTTTAACAGAGTCACATTCCAGGAAAGGGCTTTTCGAGTAAGAAAGTTTTCTGAACCCGTGCTCCAGAGCATTTCAGTAGCAGGTTTTGAAAGCAACTTTCTCCGGAGTGTTGTAATAGACAATGTGGTAGTGTCTCCTCTTCTAGTTTTGTAAGGATAAGTTTCTCTGAAAAACAACAATCATGACCAACATTGATTAAAAACTTGACAGATGGAGAAACACCCATGTTCATGGACTGGAAGAATCAACATTGTTAAAATGTCTATACTGTCCAAAGTGACTTACAGATTCACCATACTTTCCATCAAAATTCCAATGTCATTTCTCATAGAGCTAGAAAAAATAATTTTAACCTTCATATAGAACCAAAAATGACCCTGAATATCAAAGCCATCCTGAGCAAAAAGAAAGACATCTGCACTAGAATGTTTATAGCAGCACAATTCACAATTGCAAAGATGTAGAAACAACCCAAGTGTCCATCAATACATGAGTGGATTAATAAAATGTGGTATATGTATACCATGGAGTTCTACTTAGCCAAAAAAACAATGGTGATATAGCACCTCTTGTATTATCCTGGATACAGCCCATTCTACTAAGTGAAGTATCACAAGATTGGAAAACAAGCACCACATGTACTCATCATCAAATTGGTATTAACTGATCAACACTTATGTTCACATTTAGTAGTAACATTCACTGGGTGCTGGGCAGGTGGGAGGGGGAGAAGGGGATGGGTATATATACACCTAATGAGTGCGGTGCATACCATCTGGGGGATGGACATGCTTGAAGCTATGACTTGGGTGGGGCAAAGGCAATATATGTAACTTAAACATTTTGTACCCCTGTAATATGCTGAAATAAAAAAAAATCTGTAGACCTCAAGTTCCCTCAAATTATACTACAAGGCTATAGTAACCAATGCAGAATTGTACTGGCATAAAGGTAGACACATAGACCAATGTAACAGAATAGAGAACTAAAAAATAAAAGCATATACCTATGACCAACTGATTTTTGACAAAGCAGACAAAAGCATATCCTTGGGAAAGGATGACCTATTCAATAAATGGTGCTAGCAAAACTCAATAACCACATGCAGAAGAATGAAAATAAATCCCTATCTCTCACTTTATACAAAAATCAACTAAAGATGGATTAAAGACTTAAATGTAAGACCTAAAACCATAAAAATTCTAGGAGAAAATGTAGGAAAATCTATTCTAGACATTGGTTTAGGCAAGGAATTTATGAGTAGACACTAAAAGCAAATACCACAACAATAATAATAAATAGGGCTTAATTAAGCTAAAAAGTTTCTGTACAGCAAAGGAAATAATCAAGAGAGTAAACAGACCACCTATATAATGGGAGAAAATATTCATAAATTATACATCTGACAAAGGGCTAATATCTAGAATCTACAGAGAACTCAAACAAATCAGCAAAAAACAAAACAAAACAAAAACCCCAATACCATCAAAAAGTGGGCAAAAGACACGAACAGACTCTTCTCAAAAGAAGATAGACAAATAGCCAAAACATATGAAAAAATGCTCAATTTCACTATTTATCAGGGAAATGCCAATTAAAACGTTGATTAAGATACCCCCATACCCCTATTAGCATCACCATTATTAAAAAGTCAAAAAATAATAGATATTGGGGTGGTTGCAGTGAGAAAAGGAACACTTATACATTGTTGGTGGGAATGTGAACTTGGACAACTGCTATGGAAAGTGGTATGGAGATTCCTCAAAGAACTAAATATAGGCCTACCATTCAATTCAGCAATCCTATCTATTCAAAGGAAAATAAGTCATTTTGTAAAAAAGACACCTAAACCCAATGTTTTATCACAGCACAATTCGCAATAGCAAAGATATGGAATCAATCTAAGCACCAACTCATGAGCGGACAATTAAAATGCGTTTTTTATGTATATCATAGAATACTACTCAGCCATAAAAAGAAGTGAAATAATGTCTTTTGCATCAACTTGGATGCAACTGGAAACCATTATCCAAAGTGAAGTATCTCAGGAATGGAAAAACAGATATAAGTGGGAGCTAAATCAAAGATATATTGGGTCATAAAGAGCAGTGATGGACATTGGAAATTAAGAAAGTGGGAGGGTGGGAGGAAGGTGAGGGATAAAGATCCACCTATCAAGTATAATGTACACTATTATAGTGACAGGTACACTGAAAGCCTTAACTTTAGCATGACACAATTTTATCCATGTAACAAAAAACCACATCTGTACCTCCTAAATTTTTTGAAATAAAAAAATTCTCTTATATCATGTTTTCCAATTATTGTTTGTACATAGGAAGCCCTTCAGGGTCCTTCTGTGTTTCCTTCAGATTGTGTGAATCTTTTGCCTTTTCCTACTGACTTTAATAGTATTTTATTTGATTCTTTTGGGTTTTCCAGATATATAGTCATAATCCATCTAAATAATGCTAATCTTGCCTCTTTCTTGAATTTGAGCCTTTACGTCCTTTTTCCTTTTCCTGTCAGTCCTGTCCTGTGATATTGGGGCTGGGTGGAGCTTGCAGCAATGGGGTGGAGTGGCATCAAATTGACTCAACTGTGGGAGGGATGTGATCTGGAAGCTGGAATTCTTGTAGAACTTGAGGACTTGCACATACATTGTTACATGGTTTGGAGAAGCTTGGGATCCTTGAAAAATCTTTGCACACAGAATGCCTTTTGCAAGAGCTGTGGGCTCTTTCATTTTTGTCCCCTATTCTGTTTTTTGCATAATTCTGTCATCAGTCTTTCCACACTGTATTGCCTTCATTTATTCAGTTGTCAATCATTTTTCAGTCTTCATCTGCTCAACTGGACAGTGAACTCCCTGAGGGTGAAAATTGTATTTCTTCCTCTCCATATTCCTATTTGCTAGCAGAATGTCTGAAAGAGTGTAGGCTTTTAGAAAATGCTTCCTAAAGAATTATTAATTTTCTAAATGTGTGAATGAATATATGTGTAAATGAAGCCAGGCATTTTTGTTGTTGAATGAATGAACAAGTAGAGTCATGTCTCAATTGGGTTGCTTTATATCCCCAAACGGAAGGACTAAATGAAACCAAGACCTTACTTCTCCTTCTGGGAGTTCAGAATTGAGGCAGCCAATGGGTAGAATGAGCTGATTCAGTTCCTCTGTTGTATTTCCTTTTTTTCTGTGTGGGATTTAGATATGGTAGTGACATGACTTAGCAAGAATTTCTTCTTTACATTTTTCTTGAACTACTTGTGCTAGTAGTTGAATCAAGCACATCCTTTTCTTTCTTTCTTCCTTTTTTTTAAAAAAAAAAAGAATCCTAAACAGGTCCTTGTAGACCTTGTTTGTTAACAATACTGTCCAAAGCCGTTGGTCCTCTTTAGGGAATAATGTTAGCTCCATTCAGGAGTGGAGCATCAACTATGGGGGTGGTGGGTCTGAAAAGATACTCTCTCTTGCTGTTTGCAACGAACACCACATAATGACATTGCAATTACTTGACTATCTTTTGGATAATATATATAGATATAGCTACATAGACATAGACACATACGTACACACACATTAATCCTTCAATTGAGTTCTCATGAATTTCATCAAAATACTGACTTCATTTAATAGATCATATCTTTTTCTACCAGAAAAACCAATCTCTGAGCCCCTTTAGTGCCTTGCAGATTCAGTCTCCAATCCAGAGATGGTGATTATAGATTCTGTCCTATATATAACAAGTGATTGACTGTTAATGGCTGTTGATTGTTGTGTTTTGAAAGATTCTGAGGTTGGATCTGGATTTAATGCAAAAGAGTTCTGCTATGGTTTGGGAAGAGGGAAGTGTGGCTCACAGACCCTGTATTTACCTTTTATTTTCTAATACATGAAGGAAAGGAAATGTTTCCCAACTTATTATCACCCCTTTCCCAACCTTCTGGCCACCTTATCTTATAACAATGTCATTCTTAAAACTCTGGCAGCATGTACTCTCTGATCCATTCAATCACAGCTTCCTAAGGATTTCTAGTAATCTGGTCAAGTATGCATGCTTTATTCCTTCAAGTGGATGGTGTTGGACCTGAACTTCCAGTGGAAGTGTTGAATGGACCTTAAATGACTTAGATAAAAAAATCCTCATTTTACCATCTAATCCTGTATTCATTGGAGGAAGTCATTTAACTTGCTTTGAGACTGAGTTTACTCCTCTGCAAAAATAATACTCATATAATTGTGAGGATTAAATGAGATAATGCAGGTGTTTAGCCCACAATACACTCTCAAAAATATTGCCATGGTCACCCTGAAGAAATATAATGACCTCTAGTCTTCCAAAGGGTGATTGCAACTTGAATGGAAATTGGAAACAAAGGAAATACTGTCCAGGAGATGGTGCCTAAGCTAATGGTCTTTAATTATTCTGGATCCATATATGAGGCCATTGGTAAGGTGGCAAAGTATGTTGCATGTTCTGATTCTGCTGGTAAAACTGTCCCAACAGAGAGGAGAAAGTATCAGGCTATCTTACTTGAGTTCCTTTAGGCATTTAATCCTTAACTCTTTTACATCTGATTCCATGCTCACTAAGCTGTCTGCCAATTACGATTTCTGCTCTCATACAGAAAGAAAATAGTCTTAAGAAGGGGATGTGAATGTTCTGGTCACCATGACAATTACTTCTAACTGTAATTTACTAAATTGGCAAAGATAGAACAGGCTGGCCATGAAAAGTGAATATTATAGTTTCTGTAATGGTAATTTTACCTTATAAATTAATCAATTTTCATTCTAGCAGTCTCAGAGGCTAAGCTAATATACAGCTCTGAGTGATGAATTTTTTTTTAAATAAACCTACAAGATGTGGACCAGACTCTGAGCTATGATGAATTTACTAAGGTACTAAATGCAACACTGAGGTACTATGTAAGACGGTTGTCTTTTTCCTTAGTGTTTCCAGCATAGTCTTTGGCAGAGTTTACTGAGATTATTTTCTTGGAATGTCTACAGGTCAAAATTCCATGAGATTATGGATTGTGAATTTGTTGTCTCTCTGCATTTATTTTCTCTCTCTGGAATACTTCCCTTCTATGGTCTCCCGGAGCATGGGAAACTATGAGAATCAAAGTTGATAATGATTCAGTGTTACAAAGATACTTTGAGAATATGGTGATGACTAAGATGAATTAGTCCTTGCTTTTATGAAGCTTACATGCTAAGAGGATGGATCTGTAAGTACTTTATATCTTCTAGAATGCTCTACAAATGTAGCTATTATTAGAACTCATCTTTTATGACTCAGTTCAAATACTGGATCTTTGATACAATCTCTACTCTTCCAGGAAAAATGAAATCCTTTCTGTGTTTCTGCAAATCCTCATACTCCCTTACAGAAGAACAAGCAAATTCTATATTTTGATTATCTATTTTCTTGTATTTCTTTTCTATTACTTTCTAATTTCATTAAGGACAAGAAACCTGTCTGGTTCTTATTAAATCATTGGCATCCAGCACAGTCCCTGGAAACACAGCAGATGCTATCATATGTTTGTAATACAGTTTGAGGGTGATATTTCAGTCCTCTTACGGCCCATGACCCAACTATTTCCAAATCATGCCAACCAATCATCATTTCACCCACAAGATTCTGCATGAGGAACAAATAGTAATTGAAATATTACTGAGTACAGCTGTATAAATGCTTGATTGCCTTCAATGGAGGGTCCTCTGGTCAAAATTGGAATGAAGTAGATAGATGAGTTAGACTTGAGGCTCACAGGGAATCTCTTACTTCTACTGGTCCATGCACACCACCACTCACATGCTAGATTCAAATATGAAGGATATTCATTTGTGTCTACAGAGAAAGGGAAAAATTCAGGCCTCATGAAAATCCCTGAGTCCAAATACCCACCTGGCTAGCTGGAATGAATGGAAGACAGAGAGAAGAAAATAACAAAACAACCATAATTGGTCAGCACCATGGTCTGAGACAGCAAACCTAAAAGAAAAGGAGCCCCTGCATGCTGTAATTTTAACAGTAGTCACCCCGCAGTCTACAATTGCACACCGACCAATAGCTCTGACATTCACTAGTTGGATTAGCCAAACTTTCTCACCACTGCTAGATCCCTCTAAATGAACCATTTAAGATCCTCTCAGCTTCACTTGTCTCAGGACATTTGGTCACTAATTTTAACCAAGCCACAGTTGTGTCAACCGGTTTTGTGTGGGCTCTTACCAACTTCGTACAAAACAACCCAACAGCACCTCAGCTCATGCCCTACCTGTACTCCTCTTGCCTCCTTTGTGAGTTCCCTTTTGACTCTGAGGCTCTGTGAAATACAAAGCTGGAGGATCAACTCCTCCCCCAACCATGCACTGTACTAAGATGCGATTGTTCATATAGCACAGTCACAAAGATTGATGAATCAGTCGTGTTCCATGCCAAATGGTGTCTAGCTCAGTAATGGTTTATTGGCTCTACCTCTTTCACTGACTTTAGCTTTAGGGAGCTATGTATGAAAGAAGCAAGTGCAGCATGGGTAGAGAAGGCTAGATTGCCCTCTCCCTGGTGTTGATGAATTAATTAAGGATGGGACCAATATTTAATAGGCATCCTGAACTTGTGAGCACATTAGCTCACAAGTGCTGATGTGAATCACCTAGGATCTCATAGGGATCTCTGTGAGAGATCCTAGGGTTCTCAAAAAAAAGATTCTAATCTTTTTTTAGAATCCCCTAGGGATCTCTAAAAAAGATTCTAATCTTTTTTTAGAATCCCCTAGGGATCACTATAAAAGATTCTAAAGCCCAGGTTACCCCCAGACCATTTTAATTACAATCTATGGGAGTGGGACACAGGCAGGGAGAATTTTTTGCCATTCCCCAGTGACTCCAATGTGTAGACAACCTAAGAAACCACTGAGATAAACAATAGCAGAATAAACCAAAATAAATAATCCACTGAAAATTTTAATCAGAACATTATTGTTCAAAAATTTTGAAGAAAACATAAACTTACCATTTCTGTATATACTATAAGAAGAAATGCACTGACCCTGACTTAAGAAAACTCTTTGGAAAGGAAATGAGAAAAATACGTGTTAAGACAAAGAGCCTTGAGCCACTGAAAAATGTCTGTCATTGGGCTTTTTCTCAGGGTGACCTTTGGCATGGACAAAGAGGGGCTGATTGAGAAATCTAAGTGCCTTAGGATGTCTGTGGCTTTCTTTAACATTTGGAAATGTCCATTTTAGACTCACCTCCTATGCTTGGCATTCAGGAAAGAAACTTTCATTAAAAATCACTTGATAAGATCTCTTTCCTAGGTCATCTGTTTTCAAGTCTCCATGGCAGCTGGCTGGGCTAACGAAGACATTTTAAAGCTGCATGTCTAAGGGAAAAAAAGAGAGAAGTGAAATAGAGAGTTTGAAGATGACATTTTATGTTTGTGGACAAGTAGGCCTGGGAGGAAAAAGGTCATTTTATCCATGGCACTGCCTTTAAGGAACTCTGAACCTGACTGTAATTTGCCTAATGATTAACGTTTCAGAGGCAGAGAATCCACGCTATTCAGAGACACCTGATTTCTGCATTATCGAACTTGGAAATCATCATGGAAGTGAAAAGAATTTGAGCTTTATAGTGAGGAAAAGCGCAGCACAAATGAAAGTTTTTTTCCTATGTATTAGACTTGTAACTGCAAAAAATGTTTTAATCATTTTGTGCCTGTTTCATCACTAGAATAAATAGCAAGTACTAAGATCCAATAGGATTGTTTGGAAGACTTCTTCAAATAATGGGATAAATCAGCCCAGGATATAGGACAATTAAGCAATGGTTTCCTTCTTCTTCTTTTTTTTTTTCTTTCTCCCAGTCCCATGGTTCATAAGAGTGACTTAATATATCAGAAAAATTGTGATTGGACCATAGGATCCTTGTGTAATTAAATATGAAGTTATGTCTGCTTTCTTATGTTGCTTAAAATAATTTCTTAGCATTTCTGATTGGCATATGCAGTAAGGTATAGTGAAAAGAGCATAGTTCCTGGCACAAATATTTTTGAATAATGAATGAATGCATGAAAGAGTTGTACGGGGACTGAAAAGACATGGGATAAAGTTCAACATCTACTACACTGTGAGACATTGAACAAGCCCTTGTCTTTGAACTTCATTTTCCTCATCTTAAAGACAAGAGAGAGAAAATTATCTTTACTGTTTTGTTAGGCTCTAAAATCTGAGATTTAGTTAATATGCAAGCTCTATACATCTTCCTACTACACCTTGTTCATCCTATAGATAGGACACTCATTATGTTGTATTGCAACTAAGTGTTTGCTCCCCAGCTGAGCAAACACTTGAGTTGCTCCCCAACTAAGTGTTTGCTCCTCCAACTATCCTTGAAGTGGGAGGCAGCAAGAGAAGAGGTTCATAGCAGTGGCTTTGGAGCCAATCTGCCTTGCTGTAATGTCAGATCCTTCACTTCCTGGTAGTGTAAACTTAAGCAAGCTACTTGACCTTTCACTGCCTTAGTTTTCTCATCTGTCAAATGGAGTTGATAATGTTAGTCTTTACCTTAAATAGTTGTTAGGATAATTAACTAGGTCAATACTTACAAAGCACATGGCATACTTAATAAATATTAATTCTCAGTCTAAAGTTTTATCTTTCAGCCTCCAGCACTTAGCTCAATGTCTGGTGACTCCTAGACAGTAAATATTTATTGAGCATATGAATCAGTTACTTTAAAACATGGCTGCAGAATGTGTGTGCACCTTATACAAAGTATGTGATTTCTAACATGAAAGAGTTGATCAGATAATCAAGATTCAGGAGTTTCTGGCAGTCTTGAAAAGTCATGAAGTTCAGAAGCCAAGTTGGAGGCCAAGAGTTTTTCACATAACAGCTTGTCACAGAATGATATAGAATGAGTCAGTATATAAGAAAACGCTTGAGATTCTGACTTATTGGCTGTTCTACACCTTTTTGTTATCTTTATCAGGCTGGTCTTGAGAGGAGTCTAAGTGTAGGGAGAAAAAGAGAGTGTTTTAATTAGAAAAGAACAGTGGGGGCATCTTTTCCCAGAATGGAATACAGCATTCCTTCTCCTCATTCCTAGCTCTTCCCTCCAAGTTCATTTGGTTTCCAGCTGTTCCACAATTTATTCAAATAATTGGTGTCAATTTTCAGTCTAAATATGGGTGTTCATGAACATGTGCAGTTTGAAGGGGTTAACATTTTCCTTTTAAAAATTAGCTCTATGAAGATATAAATCACAACCATAATAATTAATAATTCATTTATTTAAAGTATACAACTCAATGGTTTTTAGTATATTCACAGAATTATGCAACCATCACTGCAATAAATTTTAGAACATTTCATCAACGCCCCAAAGAAACTCCACATCCATTTGTAGTCACTTTCCATCTTATGCAATAGCTCTGTAAAATACTCCCCGAATCCCTCTATGAAGTGCTGCTCCAGGAATGTAAACCCTCAATAAGTCATTCGATATTTATTGAAACTCCTATGAGCCAAATGCTCTTGCAGGCTCTAGGAACAGGAACACAAACAAGTGAGACAACAAAGCAATCCCAGCTCTTGAGGAGCTCATGTTCTATATTAGGGCCCCAAATTAAAAGCAAAGCAGAACAAAACCCATGCTTGTGACAAAAGAGAGTAGGGCAGTTATATTCCTACTATGTGCTGGGCTTTCTGACAGATCACCAGTAAACAGTGGGCTGGCATCTGTCTGATTTCAGAGACTCCATTTTTTTAAAGGACAGCATGACAGGTAAGAACTCAGTTGAATAAGACTCCTAGATGTTTTGCTTCAGCCAGCTGTGCAAAGCCCTGGATTTGCTGCCTCCCAAGCCAGCTGCCTCCTAAAACATTACTTCCTGTTGTTTTGAACAAAAATATAAAGTAAACACCCCTAAGACTTTTGGTCATCAGCCACCAATGTAAAGGCTTTTCTGCCCTGGATACAGTCAGCTCAACCAATGGCATCTTTGTTAGTGGAATTATGGGGTGAGAGTGGGGAGAGAGAAGAGTCAAAGGGTAATTAAAGCGACTTGCATTTCTCTTTTTTCCCTGCTGTAATCCTGAGGATTTGAATTCTCCAACAAATCAAATTCAGTTTGAGTTTTAACCTTCTTATATGAAAAGCCAGGTTTAAAAATAGCTGTTCATGCTCCCATGATTGTAAACAAACATTGGAGTATGGAGTCGAATGAAGGGCAACAGACATTACATATCCCTGCAGGAATGTGGAATTTAATATAAACGGAGTAACTTTTCTATGTATGTGCTATGTCTTTGCTTTGTATTGCCAGCAGAGTTCACTGGGGAAAGAATCATCATAAAATGTTAGAGCTGAAGAGGGCTTTAGAAATAATGTAGACTCACTGCTTCATTTTAGAAATGGGGGAACAGAGACCAAGAGAAAGGAAGTGGTTGCATATCTCGTTAGTGGCAGAGGCAGGGGCAGAATCTAGTTGTCTAGTATCTCTACTGATATTTAAAAGATATGGAGCATCCATTCATATACCTGTGAGCATTATTTCCTCATTAATTAACATGCACACGAGATGGGTCATTGCAATGGGTTAGAATCAGGGATGTGAATTTAAATCTCAGTTTTGCCATTTATTGTAAATTTGAACAAATTGATTAATTTCTCTAAGCCCCAATTTACTTTCTGGGAAAAAAATGTAGCACCTTTTTTATTATTGTATTGTAATGGTTCAATGGGCCATATAAGAAAATCTTTTAGCTCATAGTTGGTATTTCATCAATGTTTTCTTCCTTCTCTCTTCATTCAGGATGTTTTACATATACTTTCATGTTTCTTTGAGTCCTTAAGTAGATACATTGCTACTTTCCTAGAAAAGTACTGCCAGTGACCAGGGGTTCTTCAATCAAAACTGCAGTTGTTTACATTTGTTGAGTATCTACCACATTCTAGGCACTTTATGATCATTATTTCTGACTTTCATAACATCACTGATGCTTAGTTATTATTTTTCCCACCTTAGGGATGAAGAAAATGATGTTCAGAGAGGATAGTTAACAACCTGAAGATTCCATAACTCAAAGTCAAGTCCTGAAAGCCTGAGCTCATCTCTACTTATATTACCTTACTAAGGGTATGATTACAAACATGTTTTTTGTTTTGTTTTGTTTTGTTTTTTGTTTTAACATTCACCATAAAATCCTGAGAAAATTTAGGGGTAGAAAAAAATATCAATTTTGGAGTCGAAGTGCTGGATTCAGATCACAGCCTCCCCGTATCTCAGTTGTGTGGCACTGGGAAGCCGACTTAAATTCTCTCAGCTCCCCCCTATTCCGCACTTGCAATGGGTTAATAATTATAACAACAACATGGAAGATAATAATAATGTGGTGTTGAATGCATGAAAGATGACATGTGCAGCTTTCTTAGCAAAGTGCTGGAAATAAATGTCACTCATATATATGATCACCTTGTCCTCTGCAAACCTGGCCTATGGACATAGTTCACATGGAAGAGAAGCACTTCCAATTCTCCCCTGTGATGTTGGCCTTGATTTGACTGCCACTGCTCTAGTTAAGAACACAGGGAAGATATTGACATTGGATAATGAAAGCTTGAGGGATTCTTGCTTGTTTCTTTGATGTTTTCTAGGCATTTTATTTTAAATACAAACCACCTACTCCATGTCCCTTGCGTGTCTGGTGGAATTTCCTTGACAGAACAATGGGGAGATATGAACGATGTGGACCTTTTATGAGATGGAGTGAGGGTTGCTCTGGTGGACATCATTGACTAGGTCCTCTAAACCCATTCTTTGAAGACCACCCCTTTTGCTAAATTAATCTCAGAATTTAGAGCCATAAAAACAATAAAAAAGAAATTGTTTATCCCATGAATCTATATGAGTATTGTTTTCGGGCAATGAGTCATATGATAGTCATTTTTTTTCTCTGTTTTCCCTGATTACAACAAATATCAGGACTAAGTGATGCACAGAGCTATTGTATCTTTCCTAACTTTCTGAATGCAGTTTTTTTCTCCCTCTGCTCTTATCCTTTATAAAATATATTGTTTTCGTATCATTTGAAAGTTTTCTTTCTTTCTTTTTTTTCCTTTTGAGACAGAGTCTTGCTCTGTTGCCCTGGGTAGAGTGTAATGGCATCATTGTAGCTCACTGCAACCTCAAACTCTTGGGCTCAAATGATTCTCCTGCTTCAGCCTCCTGAGTAGTTGGGACTACAGGGGTGTGCCATGACACCTGGCTAATTTTTCTATTTTTTAGTAGAGACAGGGTCTCATTTTTGCTCAGGCTGGTCTCTAACTCCTGAGTGCCAATGAACCTCCATCCTAGGCCTCCCAGACTGCTAGGATTAC